CACACACACACACACACACACACACACAGGCATTTACACACATGAATGCGGCCCAGAAGTCCTTAGAGTTACAGAGAAAGAGTTTGTATCAGATCTGGTAAACTCAAAAGCAAACTATAAAGCATTTAGTAAGCCAGACATTATTTTAAAGAAAAATACCAAGGAAATAGTCTCTATTTCTACAATTGGGCATACAAGTTTGCCAGCTATATTGACCTATGTGTTTGGTCAAACTACTTTTTTTGCCCCCTGACAAGCATGGCCTAGGAAAATTGCTTTAAACTTAAATATTAAAATAATTAATTAGATTTAAGTGCAGAGTTTTTAAATTACATATTCTTTGCCTAAAAAAACAGACTTATCAAAGTGCATTTTTCCTATGTTTTTCTAACAATGCTATAATAAAATAAATGATTATTAAATTTCAGATAATTTAAAAATTCTTAATGTCTTGCTAATTTGCATTTTTATAGAGTGCAATGGTTTAGGTCAAAGAACTAGGAGGATTTTAAATCAGAGAAGTTCTTTCAGAGAGGTTTAAGTTCTGATTTAGGTAGATGTCATTCTCCTACTTTTACAGGATGGTTTCCATTGGTATAGAAAATGTTCTCCAATAAGCCCCATTAGTTAAAAAAAAAAAATCTTTCTTAACCAGACAATTGCCCAGCCAAGCCGATGCTATTTCCCTGGAAGCTGCTCTGCTCATTTTTGCTGAGAAGGCTGGCAGAAGTGCTGAGTGAACTGACAGCCTCCTTTGCTCTTCTCACTCTCCCCTGCAGCGGCGTTCCCTTCCTTTCCTCTGCTCCCAAACTACTCTTCTCAGTCATTTGCCACTTCCCTGCCTGTGTGTGGTCACTCGTCTGTTCTTATCTTCTTCACTTCTCAGCTTGTCAGTACCACCGACCACCCATTTTCCTCTCCCGACTCCCATTATTTGTATAGTTCCGGTCCTCCTGCTGACTGCAGGGTGTCCTCAGTCTTCCGAGGGCCTCCGCTCTCCGGCCACACTTCCGGCGGATAGATTGTCCCCGGGCTCAGCCGCACCGCTTCGTTTTCTCACAGCCTACTCTTTGTCAAGTAGCCTCTTCCATGCTCAGGCTTTACATACTCGCCAGATGTTGGTAATTCCCATGGCGATAGCCCTACCTTTGACATCTCCCCTGAGCTTGAATATTTGCTAGGCTCCTCCAAATTATTATGTCAGAAAGAACTCTTTTCTCCCAGAAAACCAGGCCTTCTAATCTTCCCCATTTTTGCAAAAGGAACATGTGAACTTAAGTGAATTTACACGAGCCAAAAGCCTAGCGGTCATTTTGATTCCTCGTTCTTTCCCCTCACAGTCCCCACCATTATATCTACCAGTAAGCCTGATAGCTCTTCCTCCCGACTATATTTGCATTGTTTCCACTCCCCTCGGTATCACTACGGCCATCTCTCATAGTATTGCAGAAGCCTACCAATTCACCCGACCTTACAACACGCTAATTTACTCACATCACAATAGCCAAATGGATCTTTTGAAAATGTAAATCAGATTATAAGAGCTCCTGCTTTAAGTACAATCATGTCTTCCCCTTGTTTTGAAATAAAATCCAAACTTCTTACTGTAGCCTGCCAGGCTCTGCAAGGTGAGACGGTTGCCTCCCTCTCCGTGTGTTTCGTCCACCCTCAGCTGCTCAGTACTCTCAGCCACCCCAGTCTTCTCACTCTTCTGCAAACGTGCCACCCTCAATCCTGCCCCCAGGGCTTTATACCAGCCCTTCCTTTCCCTCTCCTTGTGTTGTTGCTTCTCCAATTTTGCATGTCTGAGTCATTCTAATCTCTGATATCTCAGCTTATATGTCACCTCCTTAGAGAGGCAGTTCCTGAAAGACATAACCAATATTTTACTCCTCATTCTTACACTTGTAGTCCCGTCATGCTACTTTATTTCTGTCATGGTTCTCAGTAGACATGCAGCATACATTTCATAGTATTTTATAAAAATAATTTTAAAAAGAACATGAAATGTTAGTGTTTTAAGAGAAGAGGAGGAAAAAATGAAATCAGGCACTTGGGGATTGAAGGTGGTGTGACTTCGGACATACAGATCATAGTAGAGAGGACTTTGAATTTTATTCGGGGAATTTGAAAAGCTCTCAGAAGATTTTGAGAAGAATGATGCAATTTGATTTATATAACAAGAAGATTGCTGTGACTGCTGTGTGGAAATTAGACTGTCCTAGGGGTTAAGGGGAGATGCTGGCAGACTAGTTAGTAACTATTCCAGTAACCCAAGAGAGTTACGAAGATTTCCTGGGCTACGATGACAGTGGTTTAGAAGCTAAGTGGTCAGATATGTATGTTTTTTTGAGAGAGGCAACAGGATTTTCTGAAAGGCTGGATGCGAGGTGAGAG